AAAGAAGAATGAAAAGAATTCTTCTTCTTCTTCTTTTCTTCTTCTTCTTTTCATTCTTCTTCTTCTTCTTCTTCTTCTTTCTTCATTCTTTCTTCTTTTCATTCTTCTTTTCTTCTTCTTCTTCATTCTTCTTCTCATTCTTCTTTTCATTCTTCTTTTCATTCTTCTTCATTCATTCTTTCATTCTTCATTTCATTCTTCTTTTCATTCTTCTTTTCATTCTTCTTCTTTTCTTCTTTTCATTCTTCTTCTCATTCTTCTTTTCATGAAGAATGAATGAAGAAGAAAAGAAAAGAAGAATGAGAAGAAGAAGAAGAAGAAGAAAAAAGAAAGAATGAGAAGAAGAATGAAAAGAAGAATGAAAAAAGAAAAAGAAGAAGAAGAATGAAAAGAAGAATGAAAAGAAGAATGAAAAGAAGAAGAAAAGAAGAAAATGAAAAGAAGAATGAAAAGAAGAAGAAGAATGAAAAGAAGAAGAATGAAAAGAAGAAGAATGAAAAGAAGAAGAAGAAGAATGAAAAGAAGAAGAAGAATGAAAAGAAGAATGAAAAATGAAAAGAAGAATGAAAAGAAAAGAAGAATGAAAAGAAGAAGAAGAATGAAAAGAAGAAGAATGAAAAGAAGAATGAAAAGAATGAAAAGATTCTTCTTCTTTTTCCTTTCATTCTTCTTCTTCTTCTTTTCATTCTTCTTTTCATTCTTCTCATTCTTCTTTTCATTCTTCTCATTCTTCTCATTCTTCTTTTCATTCTTCTTCTCATTCTTCTTTTCATTCTTCTTTTCATTCTTCTTCTTTTTTTCATTCTTCTTTTCATTCTTCTTCTTCTTCTTTTCATTCTTCTTCTTCTTTTCATTCTTCTTTTCATTCTTCTCATTCTTCTTTTCATTCTTCTCATTCTTCTTCTCATTCTTCTTTTCATTCTTCTCATTCTTCTTCTCATTCTTCTTTTCATTCTTCTTTTCATTCTTCTTCTCATTCTTCTTTTCATGAAGAAGAAAAGAAGAATGAAAAGAAGAAGAAGAATGAAAAGAAGAATGAAAAGAAGAATGAGAAGAATGAAAAGAAGAATGAAAAGAAGAAGTATTCCAGTACAGCAAAAAGTGTATCTGCAGAGAGCTCCGCTATTTCTGACAGTTCTCTGACAGTTCCTTCACATTTACAGCGTTTGAAACATTGTATCTATTTCCAAATAAAAATCTGTATCCTAAATGGAAACAAATAGATACAATGTTTCAACCGCTGTACATGTGAAGGAACTGTCAGAGAACTGTCAGAAATAGCGGAGCTCTCTGCAGGGACACTTTTGCCGGCTGATCGGGAAAAATCCGATTCTCGCACCCGAAGTATGCTAATATTCGGATTCGCCGCGAATCGAATTTTTCCTGAAATTCGAAACGAATTCCACTTCGCCTGGTTCGATTCGCTCATCTCTAGTGCCAATGTTGGATGACGTTACATGTTGTAAAGTCCACTTATCTGTGATAAAGAAATCAATCCTGGAGTAGGACATGTGGGCAGGGGAGTAATAGGAGTAGTCTTTTTCGGTGCTGTGTTGACACCTCCAGATGTCATAAAGATCGTGGTCGAACAGGAAACGGTTGAAGTTTTGTTTTGAGGATCTGTTCTTAGAGGATGAGTCCAGGAGAGGGTTGCCGATAATATTAAAGTCTCCGCCAATGATGACTGCCTTGTTTTTTGGAGGAAATGATGTTATAGAGTTTCCGATGAAACTGGGTCTGATTGTTGTTTGGACCATAAACATTCACTAGGGTGTAGAGAGTGTCATTAATTTTACAGATCAGAATATGGTAGCGACCTTGGGGGTCAGCTACTTCCGAACATGGCTGAATTGTACTGTGTCCTTAATTGCCGTAAGAACGCCATTATGCTTCTTGGGATTGGTGGCATATACATGGTAGAAAATCGATGCAGTTGTAGTTTGGGGGTCTTGGATGTTGCAAAGTGAGTTTCTTGTATGAAAATTATGTCCGCAAGGGATGTCCGAATTTCCTTTTGAAGCATCGATCTTTTGAAAGGGGAGTTTAGACCACGTACGTTTAGAGATGTTATGTTAATCATAGTGTATATTTTCTGTTCGGTGTGTAAGGTGGTCGAGTTGGTATTTAAAGCGTTGAACGCGTTGATCTACGTTGAGCGGATATAGTTTGAGTAGATAGATTGTCATGGTCTGGGTCATGCAAAGTTGGCTTATGCGGGGATTCAGAAGCTGTATTCTTGATGCATTCGGTAGAGGTAGTGAAACCGGTGATATGTCTATTTGACTGATGGTGCATGAAGGGAAGGGTGCGGGTACGGTTAAAAAAGGCTTGCAAAAAATGCAAGAAAACATGGGTAGCATGGTATGCTACTTCAACTTCAAAACTGGGGGGTGAAAACAAGCATTGACCATCTATAGGGTCATGCCAAACAGTATTCTGTAACCAAATAATTTTCCTTAATCGGGCCGATCGCCAGATCTTGATATAATGGGACGTCGTAGAGATGAGTGACGGAAGTATGTAGTTTGAGGATGGATGAGGTACTAATGTTATGTTCAGCCTGCTTCCATTTGATGAGCTTCGCAGGAAGAAGATTGTTGGGGGTCTGTGGGTATTATGTTCCACGTTTTCAATAATTCAATGCCCGCTTCTAGGTTTCTAATAGTGTAGGTTCTTCCCTGGTGTCTGACCGTTATTTTTGTGGGGAATCCCCATTGGTATGCGATACTGTGATTCCACAGGGCTTTGGTGATAGTAACCAGTTTTTTACGGTTAAGGAGTGTAGTTTTAGAAAGGTCTGCGTATAACTTGATATTTGAGTGAGATGGTGATAGTGGTGGAGGTTTCTGGCTGATGACATTATTTTCTCCTTTATATGGTAAAAGTGGATCCGCGCCAGAACATCCCTAGGGATTGATGCTGACAGGAAAGACGGCTTGGGTATTCTATGAGCGCGGTCAATTGCGATCTCTATATCTGAGAGAGACGGTATAAGAGATTTCATGTATTGTTGTATAAAGGGTAGTAGTGCCTCGTTGGTGATGTGTTCAGGAATACCTCTAAATTTGATGTTGTTGCGTCTTGAGCGGTCCTCCAGGTCCGCCAGCTTTAGGTTAATTTGTTCGATGTCTGAGGTATGGTCAGCGTGTGCATCAATTATGTCATTGTGGGCAGTAATGATTTCCCCCATCCGTGTCTCAATATGGCGCAGTCTGTGGTCATGGTTCTGAATCACGGTAGTGATTTGGGCTAGCGATGCTGTCAAATCGCTATGTAGCGTCTGCCTTAGTGAGAGGAGCATATTTTTCATGCAGATCTCCGAGATAGATTGGTCAGACACCGGGAACGACTCAATTATTGGGAGATCATTGGGATGCTGAGGGGATGGATGGATGAGGGTTTGGCACATGGATATATTGTCAGTGTCCAGCCGTGGTCTGGACTTAGCTGGGCTGCCTGATGTGGTGTCAGGGGAGGAGAAGACTCACCAGGGTCCCCTGGGTAGAGTGGATACTGCATCCTGGGATCTGTGTGCTGTGCCATGTCATCCTGTCAGGAATGGACTAGCCAGCAATGGTGGGACTCACCTGCCTTTTGATCTGCAGTACCAGGGCTGGCCAGCGGATGCTCCCAGCAATCAGAGACTCAACTTTGCAGCCAGCTAACACCTGGAACTGATTATGCTGGGGTATTTAAGGGATGGCCAGACTTGCAGACTCTGCCTTGGTGTTGTGTTTCTCTTGGGCCCTGTATCCTGTTCCTGTTCCTGCTCTCTGTTCCTGTCTGATTCGCTGCTACATGTTCTGATCCCTGGCTTGTCTGACCATCCCTCTGCCTGACCCTCTGTACTACGCTGCTGCTACCTGTTCTGATCCCTGGCTTGTGACCCTGACCATCCCTCTGCCTGACCCTCTGTACTACGCTGCTAGCTACCTGCTGAACCTGGCCTGTGACCCCGACCAATCTCCGCTTGCTCCCCCTGTACCTACCTGCCCAATTGATATTGACCCGGCCTGCCTGACGACGCTTGCTTGTATGTACTGTTATCTGTGGGTGGTTGGTTTGGTTTGTTTGCACTGTGTTATGTTTAGTATTGCACTGCGTTTATGTTTGTATTGTTAGTGTTAATAAATTATATGTTTATCACATATCTGAAGTCTGCGTTTCCCTGCATCAGTCACACACCTCTGGTCACACCTGGGAGCCCTGACATTACACCAAGGCCAATCCTGACCAGAAGTGGCTGCACAGGGAAGCCATCTTGGCTTGTTGCTGGGAAGGATGGATCTGGATGAGGTTGTGTATTTATATCTGCTAGTGTTTGATGACAGGGAGTATGCTTATCAAACTCTGAAGGAGTATCCCCGGGATCAACTACTAGAATGTATACGGCTCGCTCATGTTCTAGTAGATCAGGGCACAGAGTTCTCTGAGGTGCAGCCATTGATTGAGGTTTTGTGCTGAGTTGGTTTTATCTGGTTCCCCCGAATGCAGGATGAATTTTTGCCACCATTTAGTGCAGACCAGGTAGAGTCCCTGGTGTGGTTATTAGAGGATGATGTGGGTTACTTTCTGGAGCGTTATTCCACATGTTCACCACAGACACTAAGAGATTGTATAAACGCAGTGCAGTCATTGACCAGACAGGCTTTGTGTAAGCTCAGCTTTGTTCAACCCATACTGCAGACATGGACAGACTTGATGCACCCAGCCTCAGTCAGCTTACAAAAACCCAGTCCTGCTTCTAACTCTACTCCTGTATTCCCACCAGCTCCTCCAGTTACAGCCCAGTATACTTGGCTATCTACCGCATGTCAGTACCCTGTTCCCACTCGCTGCACCTATCCTGCCTTTAACCCTGTAAAAAAGCCCTCTGTAGCAACTGCTCCCTCTCCTGTTCCATCCTCCAGTTTTTCTCTGTCTCCAGCTGCTCCATTCATTTGCAGACCTGCGTTTACTTGCAGTGCTCCAGTAGTTAAAACCAGAAAAAAGCGAAAATTCTTTCCAACCAATACCATTCTGCCAGTATCCAAACGGTGAACCTGCCTTCCGTGACTCAGCCTGAAGCCTCTACTCAGCCTGAAGCCTCTCTTCAGCCTGATGCCTCTCTTCAGCCGGATGCCTCTCTTCAGCCGGATGCCTCTCTTCAGCCTGATGCCTCTCTTCAGCCTGAAGCCTCTACTCGGCCTGATGCCTGCATTCAGCCTGATGCCGCTACTCTGCACGATGAACTGATCCAGCCCGACGATCCTATTAGGCCAGTTGACTCGATGCCCGCTGTTGATCCAGATGATCCGGTACCTGATCCAGTGCCCGCTGTCGTGCCAATTGACTCAGAGCCCGCTGTCATACCTGGTGACCTGGTGCCCACTGCCTTGCCAGATGACGCGGTGCCCGCTGGCAAGCCAAATGACCTGATGCCTGGTGACCCAGTGCCCGCTGTCATACCTGGTGACCCGATGCCCGCTGTCGAGCCAGACAATCCGATACCTGATGACCCGGTGCCCACTGTCGTGCCTGTTGACTCGGAGCCCACTGTCTTGCCAGACGACTCGGTGCCCGCAGTCTTGCCAGACGACTCGGTGCCCGCAGTCTTGCCAGACGACTCGGTGCCCGCAGTCTTGCCAGTTGACTCGATGCCCGCAGTCCCGCCAGTTGACTCGATGCCCGCTGTTCCGCCAGTTGACTCGATGCCCGCTGTTCCGCCAGTTGACTCGGTGCCCGCAGTCTTGCCAGACGACTCGGTGCCCGCAGTCTTGCCAGACGACTCGGTGCCCGCAGTCTTGCCAGACGACTCGGTGCCCGCAGTCTTTCCAGACGACTCGGTGCCCGCAGTCTTTCCAGACGACTCGGTGCCCGCAGTCTTGCCAGACGACTCGGTGCCCGCTGTTCCGCCAGTTGACTCGATGCCCGCAGTCTTGCCAGACGACTCGGTGCCCGCAGTCTTGCCAGACGACTCGGTGCCCGCAGTCTTGCCAGACGACTCGGTGCCCGCAGTCTTGCCAGACGACTCGGTGCCCGCAGTCTTGCCAGACGACTCGGTGCCCGCAGTCTTGCCAGACGACTCGGTGCCCACTGTCGTGCCTGGTGACTCGGTGCCCGCAGTTCGTTGGGGGCCCGAGACCTGTCACTCCATCTGGGGGTCCGGCGCACGCCGCTCCTGAGGGCCTCGGTGCCCGCCGCTTCGTCCGGGGGGCCGAGACCTGTCGCCTTCTGCCTGAGGGCCCGAGACCTGTCGACATCTGGGGGCCCGACGCCTGTCGCGCCCGCCGCCTCCCCCCAGGGGGCCCGAGACCCCCGTCGCTCCGCCTGAGGGCCCGAGACCTGTCGCCCGCCTGGGGGCCCGAGCCTGTCGCTCCGCCCGCTCTGCCTGCCTGGGGGCCCGAGACCTGGCTGTGCCTCTCCTGAGGGCCCGAGACCTGTCGCCCCTCCTGGGGGCCCGACGCCTGTCGCCCCTCCTGGGGGCCCGCGCCTGCTGCTTCGCCTGCTGTAATCCGATGTGCCTCTGCCCGAGTCCTGCCCGATGTGCCTCTGCCCGGAGTCCTGCCCGATGTGCCTCTGCCCGGAGTCCTGCCCGATGTGCCTCTGCCCGGAGTCCTGCCCGATGTGCCTCTGCCCGGAGTCCTGCCCGATGTGCCTCTGCCCGGAGTCCTGCCCGATGTGCCTCTGCCCGGTGTGCCCCTGCCCGGTGTGTGCCGCTGCCCGGAGTCCTGCCCGGTGTGCCGCTGCCCGGAGTCCTGCCCGGTGTGCCAGTCTTTGAAATCCCGCCAGTTACCAGACCCGGGCGGTGGAACATTTTGCCCAGCTAGGACTGTTTGGAGCGTCCTGAGGCCGCTCCTTGAGGGGGGGGGTACTGTCAGGAATGGACTAGCCAGCAATGGTGGGACTCACCTGCCTTTTGATCTGCAGTACCAGGGCTGGCCAGCGGATGCTCCCAGCAATCAGAGACTCAACTTTGCAGCCAGCTAACACCTGGAACTGATTATGCTGGGGTATTTAAGGGATGGCCAGACTTGCAGACTCTGCCTTGGTGTTGTGTTTCTCTTGGGCCCTGTATCCTGTTCCTGCTCTCTGTTCCTGTCTGATTCTCTGCTACCTGTTCTGATCCCTGGCTTGTCTGACCATCCCTCTGCCTGACCCTCTGTACTACGCTGCCTGCTACCTGTTCTGATCCCTGGCTTGTGACCCTGACCATCCCTCTGCCTGACCCTCTGTACTACGCTGCTAGCTACCTGCTGAACCTGGCCTGTGACCCCGACCAATCTCCGCTTGCTCCCCCTGTACCTACCTGCCCAATTGATATTGACCCGGCCTGCCTGACGACGCTTGCTTGTATGTACTGTTATCTGTGGGTGGTTTTTGGTTTGTTTGCACTGTGTTATGTTTAGTATTGCACTGCGTTTATGTTTGTATTGTTAGTGTTAATAAATTATATTGTTTATCACATATCTGAAGTCTGCGTTTCCCTGCATCAGTCACACACCTCTGGTCACACCTGGGAGCCCTGACACATCCTCTCCCTGCTTGTCAGCTCCGTTCCGACAGCCGGCGCCATCTTGGATCCCTGCCTGGATTGCAGGGAAGAAGAGAGTCAGTTTCCCGGGCTGTCCCGGGGTTTTCCGTCGGCGTGGCATAGGTAGGGAGGGTTGTACACCTCTGCCCTAATGTGCTGTGGGGTTGTTGTCCCTCAGAGCCGGTGTGTGCCGCGTTGGGTCTGGCTTATGGACGGAGCGGTGTTACTCCACGTCCATACATGAGCGGGCCGCGCATGCGCCCCTCGATTGTGAGAATTTAAACAATAAACAAAATCTCCGTCCACGCCAGAGACTGCACTAACCTTCATCAAAGAGATTGTCAGGTTACATGGTCTGCCCAGTAATATCGTCTCAGACCGAGGGGCGCAGTTTACGTCCAGGTTCTGGAGAGCCCTTTGCAAGGCCCTGAAGATGGAACTCTGCTTATCGTCCACCTACCATCCCCAGAGTAACGGGCAAATGGAGCGAACGAACCAGACTTTGGAGCAATATTTATATTTCTCAGGATGACTGGACATCCCTACTCCCATTGACAGAATTTGCCTACAACAATTCAGTCCATTCTGCTACAAACCAGTCGCCATTTTGGGCCAATTATGGATTCCACCCTTCCTTCATACCTGACACCATTCCTGAAGCTTCGGTACCCGCAGTACAGGACAGACTCTCCATGCTACAGAACAACTGTAAAGTCCTCCGAGAGTCTATACTGAAATCCCAGGCTGATTATAAGAAACACTACGACAGGAAATGGAGAGGAAATCCTCTTCTAAAGATTGCAGACAAAGTTTGGCTATCAACTGCCAATCTAAAACTCCCATGCCCATCACGTAAGTTGGGTCCAAGGCCCTTTCCGGATCAAGAGGGAAATCCAGTGGCGTTTGAGCTGTTCCTTCTGGAATCATACAAGATCCACCCAGCTTTCCACGTCTCCCTACTCAAGCCAGCTGTTGCTGATCCTTTTCCAGGGAAAAGTAGAACCACCTCCTATGCCGTTAAAGTCGGGCAGCGCGGTACAGAATCAGAAGGAAAAGCCAAGGTCAGGTGCAGCGCTGAAGTCAGGACCAGTAGCAGGAGAGCAATCAGAGTCAGGTGAGGAACAAGCCAGGTCAGCAACAAAGGAATCACACAGGAACAAGCAGGACAAGGGGGAGCTGATGACCAGTCAGCACTGAACATGAGCAGAGACACTCCTTAAATAGGCCATCTGGCCCCAATCTTCGCCGTGCGTGTGCGCGTTCACGCATTGCTGCGCGCATGCGCACAATCCGCAATTCTCCTGTGGGAATTCCTATGCGCATGCACATTTCCGATCGCGATTCGTCTTGCCGGAAATCCCTTACAGTTATCGCCAGATGTCAGATTTTAACAGAAGATCACATGTGGAAACCAAATGTGTTTCAATAATAATAATAATCTTCAGGGGTGGAGCAGTAGTCTATCTGTAATACAATGTATAAAATATTTAAATCGTAATATTAACAACAATCAAAAACAGTATCACCTTAAGATATAAATTCTTTACAGATAGTGCTTACATAGCAGAATTGTGGTAGGAGTATAAGAACAGCCTGCCCATAAAACAAAGGTCAAATAGGTTTCCACAGATCCCAATGAGGTAGATAGAGGTAAGACACAAGGATCACCAGGCGTCCCCTTTTAACCAAATGCTCTATAGGGTTTTATTATAAAATACCATTAGTCTGGGCCCACACATTCTGACATATAACAATATAATTTAACCCACTATTCAGGTGTGCTGTCCCTTTTAGAGTTCAGTATTGCAGGACTCCTATATGTGTTAACAGTGCATGCAAATATAAAAATTCATAATGTACATTTCATGAAAATTCTGTGCAAATAATACAAATCAGTGCAATAAATATGAAAATATCTCATACATATAACGTGCAAAACATTAGTGCAATAAATAAAATACATCGAAAATAAATATAAAGCCCCAATTCATAAAAATAGCAATTCAACTCATATCCGTGAAGGAATGAATAAAAATAAATATAGTCCAATTTCGTATTCATAAAATTCTGGATAAATAAAGCAGAATCGCAGGGTGTGAAAGAAGCATATAACTTGATGACACAAGAGACGGTGTCACCAGATCACTCCACCGAAGGGTTAACAGTCTCCTTACCATGTAATCATATCCCATAAAGACATCATGGATCATTCTACTGCCCCGCAGTAACCCTCACTCTGGTCACAATTCTGGTTAGAAAACTCCTCAGATGTCTAAGTTAGATGCACTCCACAAGAAGGATTAGAAAAAAAGAAAGCGGCCTGTAGTGCAGTATTATATGAAAACACTTAAATGAGGACACTTAAAAGATGTATCAACATATCAGCATAACAGGGATACAAACGCTACCGGATCTCTGACCGGCGTGCGCGACGACATCGCATGCTGCACCTTGTCGAATTTGTTTCTCTGTAACCAGCATCTTCAGGGAAGAGAGGCATAGCAAGGTACGTCAATGCAAATGCTTAAATAGAGTCTGGAAGGTGATACTGTCGCTCAAGATAGATACTGTATATAAAAAAGTCAGATGGATTTTAAAAAATCTCTTAGGTTATCTGAATAATTATAACAACATTAAAAAGCAGTCAAAATTTCTAAATAAAGAAAAAATAGCACTAAAAATATGATAAAACTCAGAGACACCATCATCTTGTGGGCAGATAAAATAAATACAGCAAAAAATATAATGACACCAGGATCTCCATATATAGACTGCTTACAAAAATTAAAAACAATTTAATTTACAATATAAACATCAAAAAATAATACAAAAATAAACATGACTAAAAATTTTAAATTAAAAAGGAACAGACCAAAAAAATAGGACTCAGCTATTGCTGATATAACAATTGATGTCGCATTCCACATTTAAACCTGAAGGGCAATATGATTTAAGATGGTAAATCCATTGCGTTTCTTGTCATGAAATTACTCTCCTGGCATTACTACCTTGCTGAAGGGGTATTTCTCAATGTCAACCAACCTCAAA